CCCATTCGGTCCAGCCGTTTGGCCGGCTATAGGGAAAATTCAACATATATACAAATGTCGTGTTTATTTTATATATATATATATACAGGGTGTCATTCGAAATCTCTATATTTCAGTTATTTCATGATGTAAAATTTTTCCTTCTATATGCCTCATACTTTTTTGTTACAACCAATTATTTGAACGTAAGTCGAAAATCGATTTCCTTGATTTTTCAATAACACATAAAGCGTAAAGTAAAAATATTCTTAATTAAAGTAATGATTTTATAAAAGTGTTTTTTGTAATTTCAGATTCACAAAAAATGTTTTATTTCGTACGAAGGTACCCATAGCTCTCTTTTCGGTTTTTTTAATGTATATTTTATTTTTAGATTGCTGTAGCTACAAAAGAAATAATCGCTGATCCAAAATTTTAGTTAAAAATGAAACCTAAGACTAACAGCTTATGATTTTTAAAAAAAAATTTCGAAAATCTTAACATTTTTATATACTTTATAAACGAATGAAAATGAGACGTAAAAAATCGAAAAATTTAAAATCCGGGAAATCGATTTTCGACTTCAGTTCAAATAATTGGCTGTAACAAAAAAATATGGGGCCTAGAATTTCACATCATGAAATAACTGAAATATAGAGCTTTCGAATGACACTTGATCGTAGAAATTGAACGAAAATTGTTTCCTCAGTTACTAATACCCCTACTGTACCGTTTTTTTGAGACACCCTGTATATTACTAGATTTGACTGATTATAAAATGGTGTCTGTATAATATATTAAAAATATTCAAATGTCAAAAGTTTTGAATAAATCTACAAAATTAATATTTTTTAGTTGAATAAACTTGTAAAGTAAATATAGAACTAAAGTTTTACACTGTGATCGAATATATTGATTTACTTTGCAACAAGTAATCTGAGTTGAAACAATGTTTTGATTACACCAAGGACCTAAAGTTGGAACAATGTTTTGATTACACCAAGGACCAAAAGTTGGAACAATGTTTTGATTACACAAAGGATCAGAAGTTGGATCAGTCAGTATTTTATTTGAAGGGGGAGGGTCTGGGGGGGAATTCATTTCCATTGTTTACATTTACAAATTCGTTTATTTTTACTTTGCAACAATTTAGTCGTTGTAATTAATGTCGATCAGTATAGCTATATAGTGAAATTGATATTCATAATTTAAAAAAAACCATAGTAAAATGTTTTTTTTGTGTTTTTTAAAAGGTTTTTCCCTCTTAAAAATGTTGCTGAAGCTTCTGCAGATGCAAAGAACAGACTATAGAATGTTTACTCTAAGCTCAGTTCTTGTTTATCAAGCCAACAGGATACAGTGAGAAACATGTGGAAACCAACTGTAGCAATCATGCTTATTCTAGGCAGAATTTTGCAAATACCTTTTTTTCAAGCCAATCCCAGAAATTTCCGAGGGGAGAAATAACTATTTGAACCTTTTTGATTACGATTTTTTGTGTATTTCTTTGTAATACTGCACATCAACCAACATATTTAAGCCAATTTTTTAGTATTTAATGGTACTGTAAAGATGAAAGAATAGGATAAAACCTGAGAATCTCAGGTTTTGAACGATACTTATATGACATTTATCTTTATATGTTCCTGTCTCGAGAAATTGACATAAAACATTTAAGAATTTCAGCCAATGGTAGTGCAGTATCGTTGTCACGTGATACAGACGGAAATTTCGTGACCATGTGCACTGCCATTGGCTAAAGTTCTAGTGACGTAATACGGACTAAACAACTATATGTAATAATTATCAATTATATCTATTAAATAATGCAAAATGCAAATAAAAAAATTATAACAGTAACAAACCTGAATTGGATATCGTCGTTTTCAGAATGGTTGCGTATTTGTTGAATATGATACAATTTTTATAAAAAATTGCATATATATGAATTTTCGTATAAATTTGAGTTTAACACAGTTTTATATCAAGTTCTCAAGACAGGAACATCAGATAGATGTCTCATAGGTATCGTTCAACTCCTGAGATTCTCAGATTTCAGCCTAACCCTATTTAATTTTTCCTTTACAATCCCTTTAAGGTTGTTTATGTTTTTGGGCAATTTAAAATCATAACTTCAATATTCCACAGTTTTATGGGTTGCAATGTAACTAGTGGCCTTTCGAGGTGAGTCGACAATATCTTTTGAATAAAGAGTACTTGGATCATATTCACGAAAACAGACAAACTCAAGATTAAAACGCCGATATTTCAATTTCAAACTTTAAACTCTGCTAGGTTAATTATTTAAAGTTTAAAATGCCAAAAAGTTTACACCATCAAAGCAATAAGGATTTATAAAATTTGCATGAGTTTAAGAGAGGGGAGTGATGAATTCCTTTATAAAAATATTCTTGGCCATTGGACAATGTGCAATTCGAAAAAAAGGTTGTGTAGAAGAGACCGTTGGAGACCGTAGAAGAGAGGAAAATGGAGATATGGATTGGAGGAATAATGGAGGTAGCAGGAGGAGCTCGATAACTAGCGACAATATCAGGCATTTTAACAAATTTTTACTAAAACAAATACATTTTTCAAATGAACTTTCACAAAGGAAATTTCTGAAATGTAGTTTTTAAAATAAAATTTTTCCAACGGAACGTTCATTAAGGAAGGTTCACAAAGAAACTTTAGCAAAGGAAAGTTTTACAAGGGAAGATTTCCAAATGATGTTTTCCAAACTATTCATTTATATTCTCCCTTCAGTAATTTCTCAAAGGTTTCCAAATGTTAATTTTCTGAAATGCAATATTCTTCAGATGACCATGATTCAATTTTCTTTTCTCCCTGGAACCTATCGAGCAATATTTTAGAAAAAAATTTTTTTTTTGGAATAATCATCTTTCTTTGAATTGGTAGAGAAAGTCTACTGGAGGATGAAAGCAAGAGCATAGGAAGAGAGAGAAAAGGAAGAAAAAATCCAAACCAACCTTTTATCTACAATATTTCCATAGCGAAGGTAATTTGTGTAATTTTAAAAAATACTTTTGAAATATTATAAATAACTAGCTTAGGAACCCAGCGTTGCCCAGAGTACTCATAGTTACTCCCGCCGTTTACCCGCGCTTGGTCTTAAATTATGATTTTAACTATTTTCCCCTATAAGAGTCGACTTAGCTTATAATCTCAAAACCTTGCTAAGCACATTAACGAGGTTCTCCCAAGTTCCCCAATCAAAATTTGAGGAAAATCGGTTCAGGAGTTATGATCGGACCTACAAACAGACAAACTGTATATATATAGATATAAATATATGTTAACTTTATTTTTGATTCATCATAACATTTTTGCTAATATTTGAAATATTGTTTACAAAGGAATTGAGTTTGTCACAAACAAAAATGTTCCAATTCCTATATTTTTGCAATATGATAGTGTATACCTTTTTAAATCCAACCTAAACTATTTGATCAAAATCATTTAAATAAGAAAAAGGGATCGAAAAATCAGACTTTGTGGCAAAAACTTCATTCCTTTGGCTAAACTTTTTCAATTTGTTAAGCCTTTCGTTGATGTGGTTAAAACGAGTTTGGAAAGATGATTTATTTTATCAGTTGAGCTTTATTTTTGGTTTTGATTGCATTTTTTTGTTTAAGAAAATTGTGTTTAACCAAAAGAGTTTTTGCAACGATTCCTGAAATTTTTATATTACACACATATACAGTTAGGGATGTTACCGTTTTTATTTAAAAAAAAACGATCGTTTCGTTATAAAACGACGACAAAAAATCGAAAACAAAACGATCGTTTTTTAAAAAAGTTCGTTTTTAAAAAATGGTCGTTTTTATAAAAATCGTTGTTTTGTTAACGATCGTTAACGACGACCCTTCGTTAACGATCGTTAACGAAGAGAGGAAACTGACCTGAAGGGCATCGTACTTATCATTGAGTAGGTTTTAAGAAAATATCAAGAAGTTTTATCTCCCCCACAACTTTTTAACTTTATATAAGACGACATTCAATAAAGTTGCATGTAATTTTTTTTTCAAAAATGATCGTTTTTTTAAAAGCGATCGTTTTTAAAAACGATTGTTATTTGTTTTCTAAAAGTTCAAAACGAGTGCTGTCGTTTTTAAAAACAATAGTTTTTTCCAAAAACGAAACAATAGTTTTTGAAAACAATTGAAAACGAAACAAAAACGTTTAACGATCGTTTTCAAAAACGATTAACAACCCTATATACAGTACAAAATTATCAGTGGAGGGGGAGGGCTATTAGGGCTCACCCCCCCCCCCCCTTTGAAACAGTGAAATTTATGGTTTCCAGGGGGTTTTCAGGCACTGCCAGTTAAATATACTTTTTGTTTTGATTGATCAGAGCTGAAAACTTTAGAACGAAATATCCTTAATCCAATTAATTAATCTGAGTATCCAATGGACACACTTTTGAAGTTCTTCTTAGACCGTTCTTTCTTGGATATAGTAGAGAAAAGTCAAAAACCGATTTTTTAATTTAGAGAGTCCTTCCCGTTTCTGTAAATTATCTTAAATGGCGCGCAAAATTTTTAATTTTTGGGTTCATATACGCGACTCTGATTGGTTGAATTTTATACACTTTTCAGGATACAAGTACAAGATTAGGTTAGTCTCGATAATAAGAAAAAGAGAGGATCAAGCATTGATCTACCATTCTAAAGTTTTCAGCTCAGTATTGATTAATCCTGGTATTCCGGGTCATGTATTTGCTCAAAATGTTTAGTTTAAGTTTATGTAAACAATAGATATTTACATCAATGACATTTAATACCAGTAAAAGCCAACGGTCATATTTTTAGAGTGTCATACCCAGTAATTATACAGGGTAACTCACAAAGAATGAGACTTTAATGTCGACCTGAAAATTCTAAAATATAAAAAAATTTAACAATCTGATAATTAATTTGGTCTTCTATCTTGAAGACTTCAATGTCGAACTGAAAACACTGAAATATTAAAAAACTAGGCTTTTAGGGCGCTTCGCGCCCATCTTCTATTTAAATTGTGAACATGTTCTTTTTGTTTACATTTTAAAACAAAGAAGAAACAAATTTTACGGATTTAAAAAAAAAATCGCGGATTTTCAAGAATTAAAATTTTTTTTACAAAATTAAAAACCTTTAAAACACATTTTTAAAAAAAATTTTATCATTCATAAACCTTCCCTGTGGTCACGTGATGTTCATGTGATCGGTTCATCCGGTTTGACATTTATTGGATAAAAACAAACAAACAGACAAGCCAAATTTATATATATATATATAGCAATCTGATAATTAATATTGCAGTTTTCTTTCTTGAATATATACCTTAAAGATAAAAAGAAACAAGTGTACATTTGAAGAAACCTACGAATGAAAAAATAAAAAATACTGTTAACAAATAAGCAAATTTGTGTTTAGCAGTTCAACAGGAGTCCGGACATTGATGTACACGAAGATGAATTAGTTGACAATTTGAAAACAATATTATCACTGCAACCGCTTCTACAAACCAGGTAAATTAAAATTGCATCATGTTTATACATTGCTATTAACATAATTTCAGTAATGATTTTACACGCAATTTTTCTCTTGTATTTTGAATTAATGATTCAAATTTTTAAATTTTGATATACTAGGCTTTCGGCCATATTCTATTTCAACTTTAACAATTATTAAAAACAAGTTCGCGGATACCATCATAACCTTTCGTGGATATTCAAAATTTTATGAAAACAATTATTTTGGAGACATATTTTTGAAATTCTAAGTATCCATAAACCTTCTCTAAGGTTATGTAAGTTGTCTCAAAAATGTTGGGCCCGATCGGTTCAGCTGTTTTTATGTCTATTGGATTCAAACAAACAAATAAACACAAGAACACCAGGACAAGCAAAGTATACATATGTATAAATAAAAACTATTAATGACCACTACCCTTGCGAGGGAGGGAACCCCCGGACGCCCTGAGCCTCCACATGCAGACACACGCCTCCCAGATTTGCTAGACAGACCGAGCCTCCGCGTTGCAGAAATGAGCATGCGCAATACATCAAAATGTACCTGTGTAATACAGGAGGTTTTTTCAAACTTGTGTTTTAAGTTTAAATAAAAGATTTTTTTTTAAATTGTTCAACATAGTTTCATGAGAGGTTTTTGAAAGATAAAACTCAGTTATCAATTATCAAAAATAGTGCCTAATTATGACAAATAAAGTGGTATGTAACACTTTACACATTTTTTACATGAAAAGGAAAATATTTAAAGAAAAAAATTTGAACTGAATTTCATTTCATCTTTTATAATCTTTGATTTAAACAATACCTTTTATGTAGTTCAAATTAAATCTAGAAAATTTGTATCATTGATTAAAATCCTAACATTTTTCAAAAAAAGGTATTGTTTAAATCAAAGATTACAACAAAACAAACTAAATTTACTCTAAAATATTTCTCCAAATATCTTCCTTTCTGTGTAAGAAATGTTTAAAGTTTTAGTATAAATCTTAAAAACCCCTTTTTGATTTCATATATGTTTCAAATCATGACAATCAATAAATAACTCTAATCTTTAGTAAAATTCTTATGCCACATATGTCAAAAAAAAATGTTAAAATTTTTCATTACTCATAAAAACCAAGATTCAAAAAAGTCGGTGCTGTGTGAAGGCTCGTTTACTGCATAGCGGAGGCACGGTCTGCATAGCGGAGGCTTGGTCAGCATAGTGGAGGCTCCGTCTGTCTAGCAAATCTGGGATGCTCGATGTCTTCACAGCGGAGGCTCATGGCGTCCGGGGTTTCCCTCCCTCCCCCTGCCCACAACCAACTATACCTATAAATGTAGGTTTCAAGATGACCGGTTCTCGCCTCAAGGAAGCTCTGCTGTTCAAGGAACAATACTAAAATGAACCTGTGTTGTCATGGTGGCTAAAATAAATAAATGGCTAATTTCAACTATAAAGTTTTTTCTTCATTTAAGTTCAAATTAGATTTTAAAATGTGATTTTAGTTTTTTTTGATATTTGTTTTATTCCCCACCAAATGATCCTTGCCGGGTCCAGGAGCGGTTTATTACATTTTCTTTTAGATTAGGGGGGGGGGGGAATTGAATAATTGAAACTTTTCGAGGTGGGGAATCCCCCTAATTGTATAGAAGGAGATGTCCCCCAATTATTAAGAGGAATGTACTTAATATTGAAAAAAATCAATAAAGACAAAAAAATGTTGTCTGTTTCCATCTAAAATCACTAAAAATTACGCCAGCAGTCCCTTTTATTATCTATCTGTATTGTGTCGGGTCAGGAACCAGGTTTTCTCCACTAGAGATTGCAACGTCGGCTGGATGTGAACCAGAACTTAGAACAGGTCTAAAGGGACAGTACACGGATTTCAAGTTGTTCTCCATGTATAATGAGGGAATGCCCGAAGGAAACCTTTAATCTGGACAATAAGATATTTTATATGTATCTTTATAATACAACAAGACATTCATATATATATATATATATGTTGCGTATAGCCGGCAAAATAGCTGGACTGATTGGACTGAAATTTTTTTGTGGACCCTCATGGGTGGCCGGGGAGTGTTATAGGCTAAAAAAATCGAAAACAAAATTTTCTTAAAAGTTTTTTAAACATTTTTTTTCAACGGGCAACGCCGGGCCCGTCAGCTAGTATTATATTTAATAGTAAATTTTTAAGTCACAAATATCCTTGTAACAGTCCCAAGAAAAGAAAATATTAAAAAAAGCTTGAGAGTATTGGCTTATTTTTTTAAGCTCATTGCACAAATATTTTTAAACGAAATAAATATTTTGAAATAAGCGATTAAAGGATGTAACTCACCTTGAAGATAAGTTTTTATCGATTAAAAAACAAAACTGAACTGAATATATTTTAGGCATCGTTAATTGCGGATGCAGTTAAAACCGTTAGCGATTATTTCATGTAAAAATAACGAAGGAAATTAAAAAAAAAATATTCCAAAACATTTAAACAGGAAAAAATGATTACACATAATTTATTATTTATCATCTGTAAGTTTCATGAAATTTTAAGCAGAAAAATTTACGACAGTTTTTTAAACACATCCCTCCCTTCGTTCTTTTTACTTTCCATTCTTTATTTTTCATGAACGGTTATTATCATTCGTTAACGATTTAGGAATTAACGGGTTTACCGTTAGTTCACGGAAATTTCCAATAATTCTTGTAAACAATTGCTGTTAGTTAACGAAACTTTGGCCAGTCCTACTCAAAATGTCCGACCTATACAAATATCATTTGAATAAATATATTTAGTGGAAGTAAAAGTAGAAAATCTGACTGATACATCCTTCTATTATCCAACATGTACAAGGTAATCATCCTTCTACTATCCAACATGTACAAGGTAATCATCCTTCTACTATCTAACATGTACAAGGTAATCATCCTTCTACTATCTAACATGTACAAGGTAATCATCCTTCTACTATCCAACATGTACAAGGCAATCATCCTTCTACTATCTAACATGTACAAGGTATTTAGTGGGACAATGTTTCATAACGGTATTCGTTTTGTCTGTTAGAGTGTAAAAAAAATATCTATGTTTAATTTTTTTTCATTTGTGGTTTCTTCTGCAAAAGTTACTGGCGCATTTCTTGCTTATAAGAATTAATGGAGAAACCATTAGAAAAATGATTTACATCAAATTTTAATGCTACCGTTGTAAATTGGGTGTTGTCAGCTTGACATGGATGGTCACTTAAAAATACGCTGATTATGTTCCTTTAAACAATCTTTTTTTTGTATTTTTGTTTTACGCTATAGCTTGATAATCAACGCATTAAGTTAAACGGGTCAGTGTAAACTGCAACAATTGCTTTGTTTAATGTTTACTTGACGACTACTAAAAAACAATGTTAAAAATTCGTCTTTCTATTCCACAGTTTAATGGAAGGTTCTTTAAAGAGGTTGCGTACTCTCGATGCGCCCCAATGTACAGGGTGAATTTTAAAAGTCGATTTTTTTTAATTGTTCACCAAAGCAAAAGAAGGCTGCATTGGTACAACAAATCTTAATATCTTCAAACTTTTTAAATTATCTTCAGTATTGTTAATCTTTCTCTGGTTAAGGAGGCTCTCAAACAAACTTCCATACGTCGAACCCGATATTTGGACTGAAATTTTACTTTTTTACATCACATGGAGGACAAATTTGATATTTTAAAAACTGGCATCGTATTCAACAAGATCTTTTCATGTATCTAGGATCCTTAACCCTATCCCTGCTGGGGTACTTGAAAATCAGGATATGCTGGGGGGGGTCAATTTGACCCCCCCCCTCTAAATCCCATGTTTGATGTCCAAATATGACAAATGATCGTTTTCAAAAACG